TTCATTTGATTTAGTTACATCAATAATAACATTTCCGTAAATTGAATATAATACCATTCAGTATTCGTTTTAAAGCAATCAAAAATATTGGATATTATTATTTCAAAACATCCCAAGAAAAAAAGAAAGAGAAATACTTCTTTCATAGATACATATTTTCACGACTTATTTCCTTTTATGTTTTATTTCCTAGTTAATTCTTTTCTTTACTTGTTACTTGTTCATGTCAAGTAAATTTATTGAATGTATTATCTGATAGATATGACAATTTATGTTTTTGTATTGACGTTGAAAATGTATGTCAGTTGTTCTGCTGTGAATAGAAACAGTGCTAATAATAATAATAATAATAATAATAATAATAATAATAATAAAGTTTTGATTTTATCTGGAAATGATTCAGTACGATTATTACAACATTAACTTACGTTAAATGTATCAATGTGAAATGGAAATTATGTTGAATGAAGTTGAGAATATACATAGTTGAATGATAATTCAATTGTGTTTAATGGCTAAGTACTGATCAAACAATGTGTAAGTTCTGAGTTCGATTTCCGTTGAGGTCATAATCAATCGTTGCTTATAATTTTATATTATAACAAAGAATCTTTCAATTTCTCCTTGGTTTTTAATCTCAGTCTATGAATAATATCCAATTAAAGAGTAAACTGATTAGTGAAAGTTCTATATAATCTTGAAAATGAAGACTTATTTTATTATTATACCAAATGATCGATCAGGGCTGTTTACCATCACTTAATGTAATTGCCTATGTATATAAATATACATCATGTTTGAGGATGTGATTTGGAATGATCCAGCTGAGACATTTGTTGCATATGTACAGTCACTTCCTAATAATTTTACCTAACACTAATTCATATACATTACTTAGACTTGAACAGTTGTGACCATCCTTACCTTATAAATTAGATATTAAGAATTCTCAAAAGAAATTCATTGAGAAATGTCGTATTTCATGCATATCGATCAACAAAATACCCTTAAGAATGAATAAACAGATATAACTTGGACTTGACTCCAATCAAATCTCACGTATTTGGGTTGATCGGAGAAATCAATCAGCATATGAATTAGTGACCCAATTTATACAGGTCAAAAAAGTTAATGAGATAAGTGGATAATACAGGTACTCACAAACACAAACTTATGAAAATGTACATTAAAATTCATAGTTTAACCTACGAGTATGTAAAAATAACTAATAACACCAAAATGACTTAAATATTACATGATTTTTCTGGTTTTCAAATCTACCCGAACGTTCGATCTAATTTCCTGGTCGCTCCTAATTGCGTCAAATATAACGTAAGAGAGAAGGCGAGAGTTATGTAAAAAACCTATGACTTTAAGGTTAGTTTATGATTTATAGAGTTATACGCAATTCGAATTCTGGAAATTACTGGAACCACACTAAATATAGAAGTCTAGGTAAATATGTAAACAGAAGCGTAACGTGACTCCGATTTCTAGATGTTTCTGGGAACTTTCCATTCAACGCTGATTAGATCGAATGTTTTCAAACCTTTTCTAAGCCTTTACGGACATTTTTGAGCAATACTTTGGAACTCTCCAACAGTTACATGATTTGTTTGGTTTTTAAATCTACTTGAACAAAGAATAGGGACTTGATACAAAATGTCATTAAAAATATGGTCAGCAAAGAAGTACACTGGGAAAAATTGAGCCAAGCCAGAATATGATATCGGATGATCAGGACAATAACTGTTGAATATAGTATATATCAAGAGGTATAAACTTGATGATTAGACTTTCTGCAATAATTGCATTCAATGGTTAAAGATCAAACTCGATTGTACTTGTTCAGATCAATTCAATTATTTTCATCATCTTATTCTAGATCCTGAGTTCTTTCTGTAACTTTTGTCACTGTTTCACGATTGTTATTTATCAGCCTCATTTACTTTTTTTCACACTACATTAATTCCTCATATTCTAAGTACCTTTCTTCTTTGTATATTAATGTGTACTATTGTGATATGTGCTACTGATGTTGACAGATATAAGTTGTATGGATCATCAATTGTAAGTAGAATGCTTAGCGGCAGAGGGTTGAGAAAACCAAAGAGAAGAGAACGAGAACAGAAAATCTAAAACAATTGACGGATATTTTGCAAATGAAGTATTTACTGTATGATTCTCAAATTTTACCAAGTTATTCTGTTATATTGTATTAAAATACAAATTAGTTGTCTTCATTGATGTTCCCATTTACCACACTGTTCAAAACTTAAGATTATACACATTTGTATTAGATCTGGCAACAAATAATAACTAATTCCTATTCTCAATCTTCTCTGTATATATAAAATATGAGATACATTTTCAAAAAAAAATAGAGAACTGAATTGAACACATTGAACAAAATAAAAGAACATTGATAGTACTAAATTTTTTTATATTTTTCTGTAAATTGTATTTGACTTTAGGCAAATATTAATCATAGTAAACATATGGATATATATATATATATATGGAATATTTTTTTCTAAAAAAATCTTATACGTAGTCTTAAATAATGTGCACCATATGTCAGTGATTGGGTGGGTGAGTGAATGAGTGATTGATTGATTGATTGATTGATTGATTGAGTGAGTGAGTATGTTTTCTATGTCTGATTAATTAATGGATCAGTTGATTGATCAATAAATTGTATCAGGACTTTACATTTTTTTAAAAAAAAGCGTTTGTATGTTTATTTATAATATAAATATATATTTTTTTTCATTCAGTATCCCATTCCAGATAAATTAACTTCCAGTTTTTGTTGTTGTTGTCTTTGTTGTTTTCATTCAAAGAATCACGAAAATGGTTTTACTTTTACGCTCAACTAAACAGTGTTTTCATTTTGCCTTTATTGTATAGGTATTTTGTAGTTTTATGGATAAATGTTTGTATTCATTTCATATAACTCTGTATGTATATAGATATAGAAAATAAATAAAAAATATAAAGAGAAAGAGAGAGAGAGAAGTCACAAACGCAAGACATTTCTCTTTTCCACCACTAGTTGTATTTTTTTCGATTTCAGTAATAATGATGTGTTAATGATATTGACTGTTGTAGGGATGCGAAGAAACAATCAAAAGTAAGAAAATAACACACAGAGTAACAAGAAAAGATATCTGAAGAGAAGACAGAATCAAGGAAAAATGAACTGATGAATGACTGATTAATTGGTTGCTTGCTTCAAACAATGTATACAAATTGAATGAATTGTTTTCTTCAATTAATTTATATATGTATAAATTCATTGTAAACAGAAATGAATGATTAATGAGAACAAATTGTTTACATAAAATAGTAGATAGTCTTTCTGCCTTTCTCAGTAAACATGCTATTTTCCTCTGGTAGAGTTTTATGATATTCTGCTTATTTTGTTAATTGATCATTGTATTTCTGGTACCCTTATAATTTGTAATACATAAATGCATATAGAATGAAATAGATTTCTTTGGTTTTAAACTCTATATTTATCCGGGATTTAATGGTTATATGTGTACATGTAAATGTATACGTGTGTGTGTGATATTTTTTGTGGAAAAGCAAAAAACTTTGTTTACGTTATATGTATAGTTCATTTGTACTAACAATAAAATTTTTGTTAAATCAGGACTAGATTTTTGAATGAGAATGAGTTTTGTTTTACATATAATGTAATTACGTTGAACTAAACATTTTAACAAAAAAGTAGTGAAAAACCATAAAATTGATGTGCAAAGAGTAAAACAGGAATGAGTTACATGTGTTTATTCACCTGATCGGTTTCATTATACAAATTAACATTGTGAACTTTATGAGTTTCCATTATGAAAAAGAAATGTACATATATCATGTACGAAACGCTTTGTATATATATGTATATAAATAAAGAATGTGCATGTTCACCTATATTGTTTGACATCAAACTCTTTCTCTAATGTAAAAGAGCTGGATTAAAATTATAATAGATAAGATGCCTACATAAAAAATGAATTCCATATTAATATTGATTATATGTTTTACTTAAAAAGATGTAAATCCTTACCATCATCAATTCACATTTGTTACCGACATTCTTCATTTATAAAATTCAATGTAATTTTTTACACATAATTTTTCTCAGTATACAACTTCACAGGCAAAATGATCAAAAAATTTCAAGAGAATAAAATCAAACTTCAAATGATTAAATAATATGACACTTGTTATTCAATGAAGAGAAAAAACAGAAAGAACAAACAAAAATGCAAATATTTTTGTTTCTTTTTTCTTTAGAAAACTAAATTCCTTTACATATATTTATTACTAATATTAATTAGTTTTGTTTCTAATTGATTAAACTAGTAAATATGATTGAATATATATTTTACATGGTAAAATAATATTTATACTACACAATAAGATATTAAATAGTATGTTAAATATAATTTAACCTGATCCTTTTTTTTAGTATTGTAATACAAACAACACAGCCATGTTTATCATCAATGTTTACAATACTATTGACTTATTTAGTTACTTATTTATTGATTTTTTTCAAAACAACAACAAAAAAATGGTGAACAACTAATTGCTAACTGAATAAATTTAAATTCTTAAAATAAATCAATAGTTTAAATTCTCTTATTAGTGAAATGAAAATAACACGTGTAGTCTATTAATAATAACAATAATAATAATAATAATAATAGTAATAATAATGATAATCGATATTCATTTTAGAAATGCACCTGTTCAAATTATTGATTTAAAAATTGACAGATATGACGTAAATAATCGATGAATGACGTAAGAAAATGCTAACTATATATATATATATATATATATATATATATATATTAGTATAAACAAGCGATAAATGTTAGTGTGCATATACAGGATTATATATATATATATATGTAATAAGTATTCATCATTTTACAAATTATTGATCGTTTATTAAAGAAAATATATATATGATTCAATGGATACAATTAAACAATACTATCATCATTATTACTAGAACTATGATTCATTGTATTATTGATATTTGTTCCAGATACTGTAACATTTGAAGTTGTACTAATGATTGCATTTTGACTAGGTGGTGCAGTTGGTGAATGATTTTTATTTGAATATCTTGAAGATGGTATAGTTGTGCCTAATATTAAATCATTTGTTTCACCAATATAACTGGAACCATTATTATTGTTATTGTTATTATTATTGTTATTGATCAAATAATCGCCTGGTGTATTACTAAATGCATCAAGATATTTTTGTTCTTCCATAGTTTCATGTAAACGTTTATGTCGATAAATATGCCATAATTCACAAGTTAAATCACCAGCCATTAAATCACCAACATTTATTGATATTAAACGTATTAAAAAAACACCATCTGGACGTAAATAATTTTCAACAAATTTACTAGTTGCCGCTTTATCTGTATCACGCATAACTGACATAATTTTTAAATATTTTCGAATGAATTTGATACGACATTTTGATGATCCCATACGATAGAACCAAATAATAAAACTACTCAATGTAATTATACCAACTAAACAATGCCAAAACCATAGAAATATGTAGATTTTCTCTAGGAACATATTCAATGGAAGGACACATTGTAGAGTATATCTAAAAAATACATTTTTTGTTGTTGTCGGGAAAAAAAACACAAAAGAGAAATAAATAGTAAGTATATAATTCAAACTGTTGTTATCATAGGAAAAAGATTTAAACGTAATAGAGTCATGAATACTACTTAATTCCTAAGCCTTCTACTCAAATAAACACTAATTTGTCAGTGTTAACATGAATCGATTAAAATATCAGTATTATGTCATGAATTTATTTCTGAAATGTTGAGATTTACTGTCGAGATTTAAAACTATAAAATCACTTATTTAAATTTCTTGACTCATAAACCGAAGACTGGAAGTCGTTAAAGAAAACCATTGAAACTCAGAAAGGATCATGTAAGACTGTTTACCAGTGCCCATTCTGGTCCCACTATGGCTGTAGGCTATTAACAGAAAATTCTAAAGCTAGATTTTGTGTTATATGATAGATGTCAACAAGAGGTCACTGCTGCATTGAAAAACTGATGCTTATCGTGAAATATAAACCCTACTCGTTCATTTTCACCAATCCCACTAGATTATTTGTACCACCACATACTTCCTATGATTAATTTAATGTATAACCACCAGCCCTCATAATACATAGCTTCTCATTGATAGCCATCAAATAACTTGGCATAAATGATGTTGAATCATTTAGACCAATAATCACATTTTAGCTTGATAGAATTCGATCATCTCTATGGGCTAAATAGCTATATCAATCGTTACCATTCAGAGATCAATCAGTATTCAATAGAAAATTATTAACAAACTGATCACATCAAATGTAATACCTTGATCTTAATATTTTAATGCACATTACTAAAATGATTACGTAAGTATTAAGAAATTAGATTTCAAACATATTCTGTTCTACATCCAACCGTTTTTTTCTAAAAAAACTTGCTCAAAGATTTAACTGCAACTTAGATTCACGATGATATTCCCTAAACGGATTAATGTTTAGATTGAAATAGTCACTTCTTTTTTTGTCAACATACATATGAAAAATGGAGAAACAACAAGAAAAGTATCATTTCTATCAGCAAAACAATGAAGAGGAAGAAGAAGCGGAAAAAAAGAGCAATGTGTATAAGGATTATAATCTGAAAGTTGAAGTATTGGAATTTTTTAACCACAACAACAATAACAACATCAACAACAAAAAAACTATTCACAAAACACCAATATGGAAACACATAACAATCTACTAATTTTCTCATAGTATAAATTGTAATTTAAGTGGATTAGAGCATTTGAATAGAACTTTGTTGCTTTATGTATCATAGACTATTTGTTACCTTTTTTTTAAATCCATTTTGTTTTCAGTTATCTTTGTGTTGTTTTTTAAGATTGTTACTTCTCTTACACAATGTTTTGAACAAAAAGAAAAGGGATTACAGAAATCCCACCAAGTTTAACAGGGATGAAATAAAAATTCTCGTGAAAAAAACAACAACAAATTATTATTCAATAGCTTGCTTCTAACTTACTAACTACTCTTAGGGTATTGAAATGGGTTATAGAGATAGTAACACCATTTTATTAAGTAAAAAAAATAGTAATAATAATAAATTAAACTTTATATATATAAGCTGATTTGAAATGAAGGATAGATATACAAAGCGAATTGTATTGTTATATAGACACAAAATGAAGCGGAATTATTGCCTGACATTTATAATGACTGTTTCATATTAGTGAAAGCTGAACGGTAATAATGATGATGGCAATAATATTAATAATAATAATAATAGTTTCACCTCTGGTTGAATAATTTTTTTTGTTAAAACTTCACAACTTAACATAATTTCATATTGTTTTCCAATAGAAATTTATCAGTGTATATGTACTTTCAATGGGTAGATAGAAGAAACTATCAAATGTGAACACTATACGATAATCAACTGACTATTAAGTTTATCTCATTACTGATTTCAAAACCTAAATTTATTTATTTTGTTAAAACTCAAGTCTATAATATGAATTGTTAATCAGTTTTGTTAACATTTATAAAATAGGTTAAATTTCGCAGTTCAATATTAAACGTATATAAAAACAATCATAGAGAATCAGATCAAACAGTCCAAACATAATTTATTACCGAAGTAATTTCAAATTCTTTATATTGTTTATAAGGATATTATCATTACAACTTTAGTGAACTAGGATGCTGATTTAATAGCAATGTGAAAATATATCTAAATGATTCATATCAGAAGCGTTTTGTGGATATTATAGTAATTCCAGTGGTTGAAATCATGAGTCAATTGAAGCTAGACCACCATGGAAAACCTGGAAGCACTGGACAGCCGTTTCGTCCTATTGTGGGATTTCTCAGCAGTGCACATTCACGACCTGAATGAAACAATAAATAATGACACTGTTGTGTCGACAGACATCAGTAGTATGCAACACCAATGGGAAGTGGGATGCTTCCCAAAAGAAAATTAAACTGAAGAGAACAGAAAGTAACTGGAATTAAAGCGGAATTGGAAGAATCATGAGGGCTGCAAAGGACAACTGAAAACTATGCAGATTATGTATTTGATGGATGATTTTCACATTTTACTAAAGCACTGTGTGATTGTTCATTAAACAATAAATTGTTCTTCCCCACCTGAGTTCTTGTTCACTATATTGTTTGGGACACTGAAAGAGGCAGAGTATCAGTTATCATTAAGTCTATGGATTGTTGTTATGGATCACAACATCAATATCTCAGTGACTGCTTCTAACTAATTAATGTTCTTGTGTGCATATATTATCGTATCTATGTGACACAGGTTAAGAATCAATGTGTTAACTTCAGAAGTGATAGTTTTTCTTAAGAGTGAACATCATACAACATTCTTTACTTAAATACAACATAGGATTGAGTATTTTAAAAAGTTAATATATTGGATAGTCTTGGAGCGGGATTGATATCAGTATTGATAAAGTCTCAAATGACCTACTTTTCTACCTCCCAATTAATTAATAATACAAGAAGATCCTTGATAGCCTTTTCCGACCTACACCATCTCATTGACCTCTTTCTGTGTAACCTGATTGGTTATTTTCGACTTTAGTTTTTTAGTTTTATTAAGTTACAAGGTCATAGCTGTCACTATATAAAAAAGTAGTTTCACTACAATTTCGGTTTTTTTCAATTTTCCAAAGTTTTTCAGTTTCTCACTTCTCTATAGTATTAGGTGTCCAGTCTATCCGATTCACATAGGCTTGTTTTTTCAACAACTATTAAAAAGTGGATAAAATTTCATTATAATTTACACTCGATAAGTCAATGATCTAAGAGTAGAAATGATATTATTTCTTCACACATAGTTAATTTGAAAAATGTCTTGGAATCTTTATTGCAATTAATCAAAACCTATTTCATGGATTTCATTTATTTTCCATTTTAATCCTTTAAATGATTAAAAAAATAATAAAACTCTCCCTATTCAACACCGTGTATGTTTAAATACAATTAAGAATTTCCCGTACAAACTATACTAAATTCTTTAATTCCTAAGTACTTAACTAGTAACTATTAAAGAAAAAAAACAATTGAAATGGTTTATACAACTTTTCTTATTTGTGTTGTGTGTAAATTGTGAAATCTTTCAAAATAATCAATAAACAAAGGAATCCTAAACTGTTACACTTTACCGAATCTATTACAATCAAACAATTTAAACCGAATTCATGTATCCATAAAGAAACAATTAGACATCATATTTTACCCTGATGATTTTATTTCTGTGAGATTATTATGTGACCAGTGGAGCTAATCCATGCCGGGTAGAGACAGGTATCTATCTCAGTACAATGGAAGATGGTCGCGCAATTTCGTGGATTGGTTGATGTTAGACACTATCACCATTGGATGCCAGCTCAGTGGTTCAGTAGGTTAAGTGTTCGCGCGCAAGACCAAAGACTGTGAGTTCGAATTCCGCGAGCGGGATCGTGGATGTGCACTGTTGAGGAGTCCCACGATAGGACGAAACGGCCGTCCAGTGATTCCAGGTTTCCAAATGTGGTATAACATCAATCGGTTCATGATCTCAATCAAAAATATATTATGTAGGACTTTGTTTTCATTTTTTCATAAAACGTAATCAAACTTCTAGTATGCTTATATTTACTTCTGAGCTTAAGTAAACTAGTCTATATTACATAATCTACTGTTTCTATGCTTTTCTACAATATTTAAATATTTAATCGATAAATATTTGAACAATTATAGTTGTTCTGTCTTCACATTTTAATTCAGTTTATTCTAGATGGTTCTGATATGAAATATGTAAAGTTATTTTTTTTCATGATTAATACCTTGGTTCTAGATTATAAACAACGGAGGAGAATCCATGAAATAAATGAATTCATGATATTTTATTTTAAAATTTCCTTTAAACAATGATTATCTACCATTGATATTCATTTGTGGAATGTTGATATCTAGTCTTTCTTATTTCCATATACATTTTTTTAATGATTAATTTCATTTGTGAATATGGTGTATCAATGTTAATAATTAGCAGAATATAAAAAAACTGATGTTAATAAGATCACAAGTTTCACAATTAACAGTATAGTATAATAGATTTGATTAAAAATAAAACAATCACATTTATAAGATTATATGGAAGTGTAGCTAAAAACAGAAAAGACTAATACACAATATACACTATGTAAACATCATGTCTAAGTAAAATGATTGAGTGATAACTGATATAACAAATTGTTTGTTAGTTATTTTAAAGTAAAAACAAAATCGAATGCACTTGGATTGTATGATGTTTTCAGTTAGTATATGATTATTACATATTGTACATGATACAGTAGTTAATGGTTTAAACAATTGACTTCCAATCAGTATGTTATAGGCTCGGATAGTCCCCAACACTTAATGTTTACTGGTATATCAGTAACTTGGCAGGACTAGGATATGTTATTAATTCATAAAGACACTGACTATTGGAGTGAGTTGTATTGGTAAGAATAAGCTACTTTGTAATGGTCCATACA